TTTGGTACTTGTCAATTGACGATGTGTTCATTGTACTTAAATTATTTTTCCATCAATGAATGCAAATAAATAGGTAAATATACAGGGTGATAGAGAATTTCACGCTCTATCAGAATATGTGATTACTTTTTTCAAAACCTATTTTTAATACTTAAAAAATCTTAAAAAACTATATGAGATTACAATGATTATATTAAGTGTGTGGAAATGAGGTAAGGCAGGTGTGTTCATTTCTTTGAAATATTTTTTTTACATAGCGATCCAAACAAAAATATAAATACACAGGAAGATGTAAAATTTCACGGACTTCCCGAATATGTCGTTACTTTTTAAAAAATATGTTCTTTTGGTAACAAACTCAAAATACAGAGGGAAACTTATTTTTGCCAGGGGTATATCTATTGACGATCTTGCGATGGCACTCAAATACACGTCAAAATGGATCATTTTATAATTTCAAAACTTCTTCGTTAAAAAGCATGCTGGTGATCTCGGGTTAATCTTGAAATGGTAGGAGCATTTGTATCCAGGGCAAGATAGAGTCTAATTTGCGGGAAAAGAGATGAAAAAACCGATTATAAAAGTTCTCACATCTTGCTGTGATTCTGAGCTTGAAAAGAAAAAGAAAATTCAGACTCTTTTGGTTCGAGACATGGGTGTTAGCTTTCATCATTTAAGACGTCTTCGAGCTCTCCATCATTCAAGCTTACCGACGAATCTTGGAAGCAGAAAATGCCAGATTTAGAAAAAGCAATTTTGAGAAAACTGCACAGCAAAATACTTTCGTGTATCCGTAGGTCTACAGTACTCGAAAAAATTATAGAGCCACTGTATTTTGAAATTCTTCGATGAAGCTGAGTAGCTAGGCCAAATCTGAATATCGGATTTAGGCGACTTTTAGCGTTTTTTTCGTAAATTATACTATTTCTTTGGATTTTCCGATGCCTGTAACTTTTCAACGAAAGGTCGTGAAGAGCTGTGCGACCCTTCATGTTTTTCAAAATTTTATGCTCTTTCAGATGGCTACATTGAAAATATTTTTAGCAAAATTCTCTAGGACTTAGAACTCAGTGAGATCGGTTTTCTAGAAAACCGGTTCAAAACCTCTTTTCTGAAATTTTGACGCATACTGCATTTGACAGAGAACTTCAAGGGTTATCCGAATCACTATTCAGACTTGGTCTAGCTACTCGGCTTCATCGAAAACTTTCAAAACTACAGTGGCTCTATAATTTTTTCCAGTATTTTGTTTATTTCAAAACGTTTATCAATGTAAAGTTTTTGATACTGGCCTATATAACGGGTAGTTCAGAATACATCAGTCACTTAGTATTTTGCTCATATCTCAGTTGGATTTTATCTCATAACCGTCACTATTTTCTGAAACATGTTGCGTGAAATTCTCTACAAAAATATATTGAACATGTTTTAATATACCACAAAGATAAAAGAACATAGAAGAAATACTGCGAAGCTTCAAGCTCGATTACTTTGCAGTTCAAAAGACAAAGAAAAAAAATTTATTTTGAACACAGTGCCATGCGCCAAAGTGGGATCAGAACTTAAGTTCCGGTGTTCGGAGGTGTTATTGTTCTTTTCGTTTATCGGAGGTTCGGTTTAAGCGTTTCTTTCTGGCACAAAAGGCGATTGTACTAAAATTTATAAACAAACTCGATCTCAAAATGTTTGATTTTACCCAAGTTTTACCCAATAAAGTTTTCCTAATTGCAGCAATACTGCAGCTGGGGACAGTTGATGTCGGGGAAAATCAATAAAAGAAAAAAATTCTCAAATACATCTTTTAAAAAATTATTAAAGTTCAGGAGATAAAATCCAACTGAGATATGAACGAAATACTGAGTGACTGATTTATTCCGGACTACGTTTTCGACTGTATTGATTCTTCCACTTCTCTAAACATGTTAACTCTAAGTTAAACAACTACGTTTTGTCCCTAAGGGTTTTAGGAAGCTTGCTGTTGTAGGCAAGAAAAGCAATGAAATTGACACTGGACACTTTGAACTATTTGTTTTTGTAACAAAAATCATTCTTTCTATCATGAGGGAGGCATTAATCATCTAAAGTTTGTTGTATTTGTTCTAGACTATCATGTATCGATTTTAGATTTATTTATAATTCAACTTGATATGATTACGATGTGTCAGTTACATTTGATTTGATATCCGATTTGCTGTGTCTGCTAGCAGCATTAAGCTATAAGAATGTGAAATGTCAAAATCTGGTGAGAGAATGTGATACAACTGATACGATTTTATCGACAATGAGTATCGATTTGAATCAACCCAAAACACACCCGACAACTACATGGACAATTAAATGTTTATGCGAAGATAATGAACAAAATCAGGAGTATATTTGACAATTAAAAGCAATTTAACAAAAAAATTTGAATAAACGAAAAATAGTTTAAAATCTCTTGTTTTTCACGATAACTGAAAGGATTCTCTTTCTTTTTTTTTATCTTAGACAATCTCACAAACGTTTGATGTGCATTGAAATCTTACCAACAATACTGTGAAGGAGCAATCGATACTCTCATCTTATTTTATTTCTCATTATGTCTGCTTTCATTTCAGATGTCATCGAATAAAATTCGTAAATTAGATGAAACATTAATTAATCGTATAGCTGCTGGTGAAGTTGTTGTTCGTCCATGTTCAGCAATTAAAGAATTAATTGAAAATAGTTTAGATGCTAGTTCACATCAAATACATGTTTATGTTAAACACGGTGGTCTTAAACGAACTGAAATACGAGATGACGATTGTGAAATTTTAAAAGATGATTTACCATTACTTTGTGAACATTCTGCTGCATCCAAGTTATCCTCAGTGGATGATTTCTATCAATTAAACACGTACGGATTTCGTGTCGAAGCTTTGGCAAGTCTCAGTTATGCATCGCACTTAACAGTGATAACTAAAGTTAAACATAGTCCGTGTGCGTATACGTGCACATACGAAGATGGAAAGATAAAGAATCAAGTTAAACCGTGTGCAGGTAAGTAAAAGTTTGATGTACATAAAAGATTCACACATGCTCAAAATATGTATTCCAATCACTGGTAAAGGTTTTCTGGCCCGACCGTTCATTGTAACTATTCAGCCGAGCATTTAACCAAAACCTGAAAGTAAGGTTTTCTTTTCAAAAAGAGAAGTGTAAGTACTCGAGTACCTATCGTCAAGTACATTCACTAGCGCATCCATTCACAGTACAGTGGGTAATTTCTCTAGGCCACGTGGACATGGAGCTTTTTCTGGTAAGAAATGCTTTTTCCTTTGTTCAAACAGTAGTCTGAAATTCGAAATGTTTTTTAACGAAAAAAACCCGTTTTCAAGACAAATTATTTTCGATCTCAAATGGCTCTTGTCGATATTTTTCGATGCAGTTTTAAGTACTGAATTCAGATATGATTATATTTTTCCTTGAAACAGTTTAAGAGCCTAGAAAATCGGGTTATTACAAATGGACGCTCGCGCACGTATCACAGAATGAGACAGAAAATCAAACTGATGATGTTCTGTAATCACAGCGTTTATCGAAAGTGTTTAAAGAACATAATTAATTATTGTGAGTAAACTAACTAAATGATGATGACGTTTATTGAAGAGAAATATTATGAGCTAGATTATCGATTTGATCAATCAATCTGTATGTGGATTTAACACTAAATTTAATAAACATATCTAAATGTTGATGTTTCTTTTTTTGTATGGATTCTCCAGTATTGGCGTGTAAAAGTTTTGTACGAATGACGGAATCTTCCTCGCCATGTAATTTGTCGATGAATCTTTATAATGTTGGATGAGAACACTGAAACAAACAGCCTATAAGCAAGAGAGTGGAATTGTCACCGAGAAAAACAGACAATAAAAAATTAAAGAATAAGAAACTGTTACTCATCAATGCGTCATTCCAGCCTTCAGATGAGTTATTTGTTCTCACTAATGAGTCTTTTATTCTATCACAAACGTTCCAAAAGTCAATTGGAAATATAATTTATAGTACTATATTGTTTACCAAACATCATCTTTTAGTTAGTTTATCCACAATAATTAATTATGTACTTTAAAAACTTTAGATTAAAAGAAAAAACGCTCTGATTACAGACCATCATCAGTTTGATTTTCTGTTTCATTATTTGATACGTGCGCAAGCATCTGTGCGTAACAACCTGGTGCGTAAGATTCCGATGCGGAACATTCCTCGTACGTAAGGTACCTGTGCACATGATTTCACGCGCAAGTTTCCTTGTGCGCAACATTGTTCGTGCACATCGTTCCTAAATCCTCCTGGAAGCCCACAGGTTTTTGGAAAACATGTCGGGCGATTCAAAAACGTTTGTGCTAACCGTTTTAATCCACATAGTTTGAAGAACATTTTGACCAAGTTCGAGCCCATTTAAAAAATGGATGCGGGTGGATTTCATATTTTAGTAATCATAGTAGTTAGGAAACATTGTTAGTCTGAAAGATACGTGTTTTCTCTCTGCTTTTAAGTCTGAACTAAGAAAACTTTGCACCGAAACATAGTCCAGGTGTCTAGATTCAGATCTGTACAATTTTCAAATCTAAGATTAATCCATTCAACAAAAATACTTTTTCCTAAAACATCAGTTTTCAAACTAGCTTTTGGCTAACGAGTGAACCTTCCAATTCCTCTTCCAATCCCTTTTTCTTTAGAAGATACGCGGTTGTGGGTAATTTTTGATGCTGATCACGAATCTGATATCCGCTTCTACTGTCAGGTCTGTCTGGGTGGGTTACTGGAATCCAAATGTCCAAAACACCCACTCTGACCTTCCAGTTAAACATATTTTTGACACTGCCAAATTGCAGAGCACGTTGAATTATCTATGTGGGAAAATGCTCAGAACCAACGAGTAAATTTCTGCAGAGATAGAAAACCAAAATATTTCAAGTTTTTGAACCCTTAATTTTTTTTATCTCTGCGAAAACTTATTTGTTTGTTCTGAACATTTTTCTACATACGTAATCCAACGTGCTCTATAACCTTTTAGCAGAATTTTTCCGTTAAATTCCCAGAACTTTATTTCTCAGTCTTAAAAATAAAAATTGCTGAAAAATCATTCGTTTTGACTATTTTCCTATTCTAATAATATCTCGTATAACGAAAAAATTACTGAGAAAAGCTGACTGTGTACTCAACTATTTTGTTTTAAGATCATGTCAAAGTTTAGAAGATCTTTTGAAAATTTTTGATTTTTTGCATTAAACCCGAGATAATTGAATGATAGGCCTATCCATTCATTTTATCAAAATCTTTTGGCCTTTTCTTTTGAAAAGCAAAGCAAAATTTTCTCACTCATCCTGTGCTCAATCATTTTTACATACACTACATCTTTAATATATTTCATTCAGGTTTATAATTGGATCCAGAAACATTTAATCATCAACCAGACACGAATATCAGTAGCGATGATATTGTTGCGTATTGTTTGGAATTTTTTAGCGAAAAATCTGAAATGCTAGCAGATTATTATTCGCTGAGTGTTTCATCCGATGGTCGATTAGAAACATTACCATTGTTATTAGAAAATTATGTACCAAATCTTGATTAATAACCACAATATTTATTAAGATTAATAATTAATGTCAATTGGGATGATGAAAAAGAGTGTTTTCATACTTTAAGTGAAGAAACAGCCAAATTCTACGCTTATAGACCACCAATTGACAATGAAAATGATGATAAAACAAATTGGAAATGGTGTGTTGAACATGTACTCTGGCATTCATTTAAAACTAATTATTACCCAGTAAACATTTGAAGCAAGTATTTGTTAAATTAACACTATTTTCACAATTGTATAAAGTATTTGAAAGATGTTAACTTTTTTTGTTGCTGTTTTGTGCCATTTATGTTTATTCCATGTGAAAATACGAACAAGAGATACATATTTGAATAAAACAAAGAATAATTTCTATTAAACTGATAACATATTTTACGTAACCAATAATTCTAAATCTAGTGTAAAGATGGATGGGATTTGTCGAATGAATCAGAATTTGTTCGTTCAATTGACAAATTAATATTCTCACACATCATAGCCTTTCATGGTATAAACTCTTCTTACATGTAACGACAATCGAAATATATTTCATATAATCAGATGATCAAGTAATATCTCGAACAATAACTGTATTTCGTTGTTTGTGACTGATTGTTCACAGAATGAAAATTATTACGAGCACGCAAGAAATGCACAGAAAAAGCACCGAATATCGTGGGTTGTTTTGTGTTTCTTTTTTGAACGCGATTTCGTGGAAAGAAGTTTATTGTAGCTAATTTGACTAATACTGAACGGCGTAGTTTCTTTCTTGTTGAATTTGCATTAATAGTTTTCAAAATTGTACCGGAACTCTCTCCAGAGCACTCTTCTCCTGTACTGTTCACTCCCTTAATTCTACTTGTGTGATCTATCTTCTTCAATCCGCAAAAATCATAAGCAGTACCATTTCGACTGTATTCCATTTGCGTCAGCTATATGCATAAATCAATCGGCTAGCAAAAAAGTATCTTCTGGAAAAATGAGGTATATACCGCAAAAAAACAAATCTAATGAAAAATTGAATTGAGATCTCTAACAACTTCGTGTGTCGCCTTTTGACCACACTCTTTTCTGAATCTTCACCTTGTACAAACGTCTCTCTTTTTTTTTTCTTTTTCTTTTCACAATTCATCACTCTACAGAAAGTGGGCATCTATATTTTTATATGAGTAAAAGGTCATCTTATAACTTCATTCTTTTTCTCTCAATAACATTCGAAGAATCGATGAAATAGTCAACTAGTGTTAGGTTAGATATAGCAGGCTAAATGATTGATGATGGTCAACAATTACAATCACTTTTTCCATTCTTTCTATCTATTGATCTAGCAGACGCGTTTTTCATTTCTTTCTATACCAGTAATGTATATGTAACAATGGAAACTGCAGCTCATTACGTCGGCCATTACTGTACCAGCAGTCAGTGTGCGTAATAAAATAATAAAATTGAACTTTTCTCAAATATAACACTTTTTCTTTTACCGAAAACGAAATAAATGGATCAGCTAACGCCACCACATCCTCATCCACGTCTATCAAACTACTATTTTTTAACGACATCATGGCCTGTACAAAAATGTTACTCTGTACTCTTTATTATTTCTGTTATTATTGTAATATTATGCATTGCTACCGGTATAATTCATTATAAAATCGAGCAACACTGGAGAAAGCAGCAGATACAGAAGCTTAATAATATTACAAATGATACTGGTAAATGAGCAGTTATCTAATCCTTTTGTTGAAATTTTCTAAAGTTTATTTATACTTTACAAAATTGATCATCTTTTGTCATTTTCTGTTTTAATTAAATCCTTCAACACACACATGTACATAGAATAAAGATTTGTAAGAAAATAAGTTATTGTCTACTACGAGACTGTCGTGATATTGTCTGTGTAACGTTAATAAAAGCTAAGCGTCACATGTATAAGACTTAGGATCGTAAGTCTTATATGGACTGGAAAGGTTCTATCGAGGGAACCTTTCCAGGCGTCCGACCGCTTTTCTAACGAAATGCGGTAGTTTATAGATAATCGACCAAGCTGATTCCGAATATGATAGCCGTTTTTGCCCATAGGCCTTTCCTAACCAGTTTCTGCAAAACTGATTTTCCAGAAACCTCCAAATATTGCCTAGACTTTTCTAAATAAGTCACGACTGTAGCCTGCGGATTCTGATTAAAATGAGACATCTTCCAGTTCTACACGACCTTTCTTTGCGAAGTTATAGAATTTACAAGAAAAGTCCTAAATGTTTATTGTCAACTCAGAGCTACAGAAAGAAGAAGGAAAGATGAATTTAGGGCTTTTCTTGTGAATTCTATAACTTTGCAAAGAAAGGTCATGTAGAGCTGGGAGATGTCTCATTTTAATCAGAATTTCGCGGACTACAGTCGTGACTTATTTAGAAAACTCTTGGGAATTTCCGAGTTTCTGGAAAATCAGTTTTGCAGAAACCGGTTAGGAAAGGCCTATGGGCAAAAACGTCTATCATATTCGGAATCAGCATGGTAGATTACCTATAAACTACCGCATTTCATTAGCGGCCTGGCCAGCTAACTCTACCTGTGTACGTAATTCCGTGACGTTTTTCTATGATTTTGTTTTATTTGCAGAAATTTTTGAAAAAGTCAGAACTCAAAAGTAAATAAACCATTTTGTAGACAATT